GTGTACGGGGGGAAATTGGTACAAAGAGAACCGAAGAACGATCCAAGTAGCATCGTCAGCGGCCAATTGTATCCAATTTCCAACGCATTTTCTAGGTTCTGCAAGAAGAAAGAAATAGGACATCAGAGTGCTAAGAAAAGAAAAACCAAACAATCCGAAGTGGGAGGTAGTCACCACAAGGCCTCCAGTCCATGCTATTGTTCTTGGGTACCACATGCAAGGGTGAAGACCATGGACTGTTGGATAATCTGATTATTACCATTTCAAGCATGTGTTCAAACTCGGCTTTTACAGCACGCAGTTTCTCCGAGGATAATCACTGTGGTTTCGCAAACACTGGTGGGCTATTCGTCGTTATGTGATGAGAAACGTTCGAAGTCACACCAGGGACACAACGACTCGGCTTAAAGACATCCGAAAAGAACTGAATAGTAGACGCGTGGGGACTAGAAGCTCCCGTCGTGGAGTGCACGGGACTGAGGGGAGGCGTCTTTGTGACAATACCGGAGACAGAGAGTGTTGTGGTAGAATCTATCAACTTATGCTTGCCAGCATCTACCAGAAGCTGATAGTGCTGTAAGAGATCCATACCAATAATGCCGGTGGTCACATCCGCCACTATGAAAACCCAACGAAAGGAACGACGCAATCCAAGGTTGAGATCGAGGAATCTCCGACCATAGGTTGTGATGGGCGAACCGTTGGTGGCACGAAGTTGCAGAAACATTGGCCGCAGACGCTCTTCCTTCGAAGGTGGGATGACGCTAGCTTCTGCCACAGTGTCAACTAAGAAGCGTATCCCAGAATGTCGACCAGTGACGAAGAAGAGGCGACATGGAAGTGGCTCGCCAGTGACGTTAGTCGCCGTCACGTTCTGGCTCACACGTTTCCCGCCTGGTTAGCCTCTAATGTGCAAGGTCGAGTGCACCTTTTGACACTGGCACCATAACGTTTATGGTACCAGCACAACCTGTGTTGGGATTGTGGCGATTTGGAACGCCTACTACCGGTACGGGAGGCTGACCTGTTGCGCCAGTGAGACGTGCGACCGTTGCAGGAACTACCAGACCACATTTCGTTCCTGATGCTACACAACTCCTCATTCAATTTCGAGATGTGAGCTATAACATCGAAACTTGTTGGCTCGCCAGTCGAGGGAGGATGTGGGTTTTTGGACGAATCCGTGGCAGTAGACAGTGCTGCTGAGATACTAGTGTTGGGCTTCATAGCGTCCACAGCTCTGTCAGCCGGTTCCGCCAGCTCTATTAAGGGACACTTATGGGAGGGTGCGAGGATCCCTTGAACCGATTGTGGCAACCTCTGTAACCACAGTTGCTTGAGAAATGCCTCATCAATGTTGAAGTCAGCTGCTGCATCTGACGAAGCAGTTGCGTCAGCATACGATCACCCAGATGCACATCCCTGAAAAGTTCTTGCACTTTCTGTTGGTCAGTAAGTGCAACACGTTTGATGAGGGCGGTTTTGAGGCGGTCGTAAAGATTCAGTGCTGGGTCATCTAGCACGTCTGAGACGTCTTCGATCACATTTTCAGGTAAGGTGACGATGACTAAGTTGGACTTAGTTTCTTGTGATTGAATGTGTCTCAGGGCAAACTGAGCTTCCACATGGGAGAATCATTCAGATGGTCTGTGGGCCCAGAAGGTGGGAAGCTGGTAGGTTACTGCCATCTGCGCAGTCTAGTCGTTATCCGCCATTGATCAGGGAATTGAAGAGGCATGATGATGATAATAATAATAAAAATTACAATGCAAAAATAACCAATGAGGAGTGCAATAAAAAAAAACGCTAGATAGTGCCAAGAATAAAAATAGGCCAGGCAAATCAACGCAAGAGAACAAAGGTACTAGACAAAATAGGAAGTGATACTCGGGCTCACCAATTTATAGGGATGCGTGTTACAATTCCGTAACGTTTGATCAACCCTACTCAACTTGATGTGCTCTGCTTAACCAGTACTTGCTGTTGTTGTTGATGGCGTTGGTTGGGTGTCTTCATCACCTCTGTCTTCTCTACATTCACTTGAAGTCCCGTCTTCCCTACGTTACCTCTTCTGTCACCCTGTTAGTTTTTGCCTGTAGGTCTTCTAGTTTGTACGACAAGACATTCGACATAAATCATCATCGTTGGCGAAATCCAAATCTTCTAGGCGGAATGGATTGAAGTACACTATATTTCCACGTTTAACAGCAGCAGCAAAGTCAGTTATAATTGCCACAACCAAAAATAGTCTACAAGTATTAAGAAGAATGTACAAAATGTGATGAAAAGCGATGAAAAGGAAACATTAGTTTCAATTCAAGTGGTTGAATAGTCTCCATAATGGTATCCAGAATACTGTCAGAATTCGTTTCATTCATTACACAGTGAAGAAGTAACTGTTGTAAGATTTCAAGTAGTACATTTACTTCTATTTTGTTGTCTAGCAGCAATTCATAAGTGAAACTGGTGAATAAGGAAAGCAACATTGATCCATTCATTCAACAGCAATTTGTTTCCCTTCATCATTGTGCAAATCTACCATGATTAACCGCTGAGAATGCTTAAACTCTTGCTAGATTCTCTTATTGTTATTATGATCTCTACTGTATTAACATCTTATCTATTTTCTGTAAACCGAATTCTAATAAACATACTACTATCAAGATGACTGAAAATTCGTAAATTTAATTGTAACTCCTGATGAAAACCACATATTTAGGTGAAATATTTCTAACTACTCAATATTATTAAGTAGTATCGTACGTTAACCTCGCCTGGTTAACTAGTTCACTAGTTACTAGCCGGTCCTAAGCCCCCGTAAAAAGGGAAGGTTGGCCATACGGCTAGAAACCCTACACCGGAAAACAAATCTAACCGCTAAACAAACTTCAAAGCACAAACGATATATAAAAAATGAAAACAAACTTATTCCTCACTGGAATCGGAGAGGCGAAATGACGCCAGTTGGTGAAAGCCTGCCTTCGGGAAGCCAATTGGCTAATGTGTCTTCTCTCCCTCGATGAAAGCGAAAGTAAACGTGGGGACATGGAATGTCCGCACTATATTCGAACCCAGTAAGGCAGCCCAGATTGCAAATGAGATGAGAAGGTATCACACTGGAGTGCTTGGGATTTGCGAAAGCAGATGGAATGGGAGTGGACTCTCGAAACTGTCAAGTGGAGAATCAATAATCTACTCCGATAATGTCACCCAGACGACAACCACGAGCACACTGAAAGAGTGGTTACCATGGTGTCCCCGAGAGCATCGAAGGCTCTCATGCAGTGGGAACCAATGTCTTGAAGATCTACAGGCAAAATTAACAAGTTAGCAGAAGAGGCAGGACAGCGAAGACGGGACACCATTCAAGTGAATATAGAGAAGACAGAGGTGATGAAGATACAGCACCAACAACTCCAACAACAACAACAACAAACTCCAATCACCATCGACAGGAGAAACTTAAAGGAAGTAACCTCCTTCACCTACACCTATCTAGGCAGGCAGCACTGTTTCAACTAGAGGTGGCACAGGCACAGACGAGGATGTCAAAGTGAGAATCGGAAAAGACAGCAAGACAGGCATTCATTAGCCTGAAACCAGTGTGGAGATCTTCTGCACTCAGCATGCGGAACAAGATCCGGATTTTCAACTCAAATCACAGTCAAGTCAGTGCTTCTATGTGATGGTTGAGAGACTTGGTGCGTTACGAAAGGGATTTCCAATAAACTACAGAGATTCATCAACAACTGCCAACTACGCTGGCTCGTTACTGAAGATCAGATGGCCAGAATAATAAGATTAAGCAACAAGGAGCTCTGGGAACGAACCAACCAAGAACCTATCACCCAACAAATACTCAGTGTAAGGAAGTGGAGATGGATTGGGCATACAGTGAGAAGGCCGAGTGGGGACATCACGCGTCAGGCCAGTCACTCGAGTGGGATCTCCATGGGAAGCGACGAGTTGGGCGTTGGAGGTGAGGGTGACATGGAGGAGATGGTGTGTGCGAGGAGGAAATGAGAGGTTGTGGGCTGCCGTGGATCCAGGTTCAAAAGACCTGAAAGAACAGAGGTCACCGGAGACGTGCTAGTGAAGCCCTATGTTCCATTAGGAACCCACGGGACTAATAATAATAATAATAAGTATCGTATGTAAATTTCAATCTGCAGACGTCGGCATGCTATTCAGTATGAAAATTCATTGTAGAGTAATTGTGTTCAACACTTTTAACTTCTCTGTATATTAGCTTTTTTTATTGGCTGATGACTACAATTCGCCGTCTTTAGTTTGCTTCCCATGGGTCACACTGTCTCGTTGACCTTTATTTATTTCAATACGTTCCATTAATCGTCATTATGGTTTAACTTTGACCCAGCATTTCAATGTCATTATTACTGTAACACACATTATGATTATCTCCTCATAAGATGGTGTATTACAGATAAGCGTCCTGCCTCTTCAACTTTCTGATCGAATCAACCAGCTAGTTTAATCTCAGTGGCAAATTTAAACAAGTTAAATGGTATTTTATACCACTCTGATCGACTACCTTGTTCATAAGGTTTCCGTTAGGAATCATCCAGTGAATATCGTCAAGTATAATCTCTGGCAAAATTGTCATCTGTTGAATCAGTCAAATATATGAAAAGTGAAAACTACAAACAAACAGATAACATCATCTTTCTAGACATCGACGCCATCAGCATTAACTTCACTATGAAGTAACTTGTCAACATCCCTCTGTCAGTCGTTTAGTAGCTTGCCCTCACAAACTGCTTTGTGATTGGTTGTTTCCTCCGATTGTTGTACCATTCACAGACTGTATAGATTTTTGTGCTGGCTGGCTTTTCCTCTCCTTCACTTTTCGCCTTTCCATCGTGTAACATTTTTTCGCATTGGTTCATAGATTGGGTCTATGTTTATACATGTATTGATTGCTGATTGACTGACTAACCTGAATGTCAAGCTTCTAAGAATTACTGATCACTTTCTTTTCTCTTATAAATAGACAAATTTTATCCATCTCTTTAATTCTATAAACCAGTATACATACAAACTGGAAGAGATTACACGAATATGGCTTGTCTAGTTGGAACATGGAAAGCAGATCAACCTGTTGGACTTCAAAATGTTATGGATAAATTAGGTAGGTGAATTATTTCCACATAGTAAATAGGATTCACAATTGATGAACCTATGAAAGCTTAGAACTTCTCAGTGGTGTACATCTATGACTCCGTTAGTGGGTCAAAGTCAAAACTATTAGGGCCTACAGTGAAACTATTCACTACTTCCAGCTTTTCCAATAGTCCTTTATTATTATTATTAGTCCCTTGGGTTCCTAATGGAACATAGGGCTTCACTAGCACGTCTCCGGTGACCTCTGTTCTTTCAGATCTTTTGAACCTGGTTCCATGACAGCCCAGAAGCCCTCATTTCTTCCTCGCACCATCTCCTCCATATCACCCTCACCTCCAACGCCCAACTCATCGCTTCCCATGGGGATTCCACTCGAGTGACTGGCCTGACGCGTGATGTCCCCACTCGGCCTTCTCACTGTATGCCCAATCCATCTCCACTTCCTTACACTGAGTATTTGTTGGGTGATAGGTTCTTGGTTGGTTCGTTCCCAGAGCTCCTTGTTGCTTATTCTTTCTGGTAATCCATCTGATCTTCAGTAACGAGCCAGCGTAGTTGGCAGTTGTTGATGAATCTCTGTAGTTTATTGGAAATCCCTTTCGTAACGCACCAAGTCTCTCAACCATCACATAGAAGCACTGACTTGACTGTGATTTGAGTTGAAAATCCGGATCTTGTTCCGCATGCTGAGTGCAGAAGATCTCCACACTGGTTTCAGGCTAATGAATGCCTGTCTTGCTGTCTTTTCCGATTCTCACTTTGACATCCTCGTCTGTGCCTGTGTCGCCTGTAGTTGAAACAGTGCTGCCTGCCTAGATAGGTGTAGGTGAAGGAGGTTACTTCCTTTAAGTTTCTCCTGTTGATGGTGGTGGTGATTGGAGTTTGTTGTTGTTGGAGTTGTTGGTGCTGTATCTTCATCACCTCTGTCTTCTCTATATTCACTTGAATGGTGTCCCGTCTTCGCTGTCCTGCCTCTTCTGCTAACTTGTTAATTTTGCCTGTAGATCTTCAAGTTCATGTGACATCAGGCACAAGTCATCGTTGGCAAAATCCAAGTCTTCTAGATCCTTTTCCGTAGTCCAGCCAGGGTATCCCCCTCTTCTCACAGCTCCCCACTATTTGCTGCATGATCCAGTCCAGTTGACCACAATCAGGTATATCATGGGGGAAAGTATGCAACCTTGTTTCACTCCTATCTTCACTTCAAGAACATCAATGAGTTTTGTTCCCATTGTGAATTACTTGGCATGTGGCGTCTTCATATAGTTTGTGAATGAGATTGATAAAGGTTTGTGGTATTCCATAGTATTGAAGCACCTGTCTGCCAAATTACTTTTCGGTTGACTCTGTCAAAGGCCTTCTCAAAGTCAATGAAGTTGAGGTAGAGAGTTGACTGCCATTCGATACTCTTTATATGATGATGCGTAGCTTAGCGTTGCAATTTGGCCCGCACATGATTTGTACTTCCTGAAGACAGCCAGCCAGCCAGCCTGTTCCGGTCGTAGTTTTGAATCCAGTGCATCCTTAAGCCTCTCCAGGATGATGCGGCTTAATATTTTGCTTGCTCTGGGTGGACAGGAGTGGGACATGATTCCTCTCCAGTTCTTGCAAACACTGAGGTCTCCCTTCTTCGGCAGTTTGACAAGGTAACCCTTCTTCCAATCAATGGCCAGGTACCTTCTCTTCCTTCCACACCTTCTGCAATAGTGGTGTGGTGTGAGCATGTCTGCTGTTGTCTCTGCGTCTGTTCCCAGTGCTTCTGGCTGGATCCCATATGGTTCATATCAATTCATGATAAACAAATGGTATCCTCAAGTATATCAGTCCATTGAAATGTTTATTTTTTAACTGACCAAATATATCCAGTTATTCATGAATAAGAACAAGGCATGTAACACCGACTTCATTATCATCCTGTACATTAGTCATATTTACAACCGACAAAATGACAGACAGTCCCACTAATATGTTGCTCAGTCAATATACCAAATACACAATCGGTGTAGGCGGTGGTATTTGTTCAAGTGGAAGAGATAGAAAATGGTTCACTGTGAATAAGGAAACGAAATTAGACAAGTGGTGAGATAAGAGACACATATTGTCAACCGTCTATTGAATTCACTGTAGAGGAAGAGTTGAATTCACCGTTCCACTTTATAGACGTGACGTTAAATGGAAGAGATGATGGCTCGATTCAAAGGTCAGTTTCCAGGGAACCAACTTGAACTAGCCACTTCACTAAATTCAATAGTTGACTGCCTGTAAGTTACAAAAGAAATCTCATTCACTCATTGTCTTCCAGAAGATAAGGTGGATGCTGAAAGCAAAACTCTTAGAACAATACTATCTAATAATGGATGCTGTAAACGATTTATTGATAAGAATCAGAAGAGATGAATCGTCCATCATCCACTTACAGTTCCTAAGAAAATCTTAACCATGAGTCTGGAATTCAAAGGAGATACAACAGCCGGAGTGGTGAAAATTTGTCTGTCAATGTGTGTCAGTTTTAGCTTCTATGCTGCTTGAGTGAGATTGATATTCTCCAGCCGCCGTCTTATTCAACAGTGTGTGAAGGATACACTTCCACTTATGTCCACATCTATGTGTATCTACAAATTCACATGCTCCTGTACAGCTGACTACATTAGACGTTGTAACCGTGCCCTCGGAAAACGTGTTGCTGGACATTACCCGGTTTGGCTTACCAGAGGCAAAGGAAGGAAAGCGACTTCATCTATATTTGAACAGCAAGTAGAATTTGGTCATTTAGCACCTTGAGATTCATCCTTTGAGGTAATTTTTAAAGTTATACTGAACTACTCCAATGGTCTACCTTTCCACCACTTAAGCATAGCTGAAGTATTAGCTATACATGAACGGAGACTGAAACTTTGCATTCAAAAACGTTTTATGAAGCCACTTTCTCTACCTTGAAGTTAACAACTCCGTGTTGGTTACCATGGTCAATTTCACTGCACTTCACTTTGGTATACTTCTCATTTATCGTCATCATCATTACCAATTTCCACTTCACTGGCACCACGTGTCTCTTATCTCTCACCACTTGTTGTCTAATTTCGTTCCTTATTCGCAGTAACGCACCCATTTTATATTTCACCTATTAACTGAGTAACTGTTTTACTGGAACTGTCTGTCATTTTACCGGTTGTAAATATCACCAATGTACAGGATGATAATGAAGTTGCTGAAAGAAGGAATACTCCTTCTTCCTGACTGTTACACATCTTGTTCTGATTCATGTTTTGCTTTCCCTTGACAATAATACACATATACACATATATATAGACATTGTAATGTACACCATGATGTTGAGCCTCCTAGCTTGATGGTCATATTACAAAAGATAATCGATAGAATTGTTCATCTCCACTCAAAACTAGACAATATCAAAATTAGTTACTATCCTCTAACTAATCAATATACATATAATATTTATTGTATATTGATTAGGTATTGATTATGAAAAGCAAAAGTTATTTTTAACAGCCAAGCCAATATTCACATTTACACTGATTGGAAATGATTCTATGAAGGTTAAAATTGACTCAGAGATAAGAAATTCAGAATTTTCATTCAAATTTGGTGAAGAATTCAATGAGAAAACAGTTCTTGGTTCAATATGTAAAGTGAGTGTTAATATGATACAATTTAGATAAGATTAAAAGTTATCCTCATGTGTTATATTAATATTCTCTCCTCATCATTAATTGTAGGATTATTTCTGCTCTATATGAATATTCTATCTTCATATATATATATCATGTATGAAGTCTCTGACTGTTGGTTTAGGCCATGTAGGACAATGCAGACTAGGTGGTTGGGGTCCACGGGACAAGAAGAACCAGTGGTTGCAGACCCTAGGTGATCACATGGCTCAGAACCGATATGAGTGGCGCAGATGTATACACACATTATCCTCATCTTAACAACGCTATACCGAATCTCACCATTTTGTCACTCCTCTTTCCTTTCTTCTTGTACTTCATATTTCTTTTGACTGCATTCCCTTATCTTCATCCTTCACCTCACTACCTTTCTACTTGATGTGCTGATATGAGGTGTGGCAACTCGGACCGTTACGCAGTAATGCCTGGTCCTATGTTGATAATGATGATGATGATGCTATATCATGTTCCAAACTGTTTATTCATGTGTAAAGTGTTGGCTGTACCTCCACTTCTTAGACTAGAAGTGAGTAGAGTAAATTGAGTATGAATGATCCTTATAGATCATGGTCAGTATGTTGAAGCTTCAAATTACATTGAAAAAGGATTTCTCATTTAACTTTTCACCTTAGCATGAATCTCTATACAGAAGACATAAAACACAATGTTACAATACTTCACTCTGTAATTTCATTGGATAAGATAAACCTCTCTTAAGTCTCCTCATTCAATTATAATTTCATTCTGATGAAAGTAAACTTATTTACTGTTTTCATTGGTTAATTATTTGTTGATACTTGTGATAATTAGATTGAACTGATCGATATTTGTTGACCTAATGGTGTTTAAAGTGATGAGGACACAGGGTTCGAACTCGACTGAGTGAGATATAGGTACACATTCAACTGATGACTCATAAATGAGATGAAATACACATTCCAGATTCTACTGTTAGCCATCCTAGAGTAAGCGTATAAAAATCTCCCCATCATTGTTTTACACATAAGTTGAATCATCCATTCCCGTTTGATAATCAGCCTATCCTAATTACTTCCTATTACTGTTAATAAGAGAATCTTAGATATACATTTTTGACTGTTCAATTTTATCTGCTTGATTTCGATATCAATGAGAATACAAAATGATATCAAGCAAACCATACCAAATAGAGTGAAGGTGTTCCCTCTGAATTCCTTCTATAGTGTATACATTTTTACTGTTATCGTCCACACAATCCCTCCCACATACACCCTACACTTCTGTAAACTGTACACACAAATAGTCAAAGACTTCACCAGTTACTGTCACCTTTTGAGTCTCGTCATCTTCAGCTTTCTTTCAATTCAGTACAGTCTTGGTTCGGTGAACATCATGTGTCAAGATACGAACGGTTATAGACGACTAGAAGCATCTCACTGGGTGCATAACCTTTTCGGCTGACTTGCTTTGCTTCATTCTCACATGTTGATTTCATCAAATGTGACCAAAGCTATGAGAGAGATGTCCTGGAAAGTCTGGAACTTTATAAAGTTTTCTATCTTCATCAGCCGGCAATCCATTCAAGCTGATGTATTCTACCGCTGCACCCTTTATTCTTACCTGAAATTTGACAAATACAATAAACCGGTTAAACAAACTCAGATCCCTGATCAACACGAATAGAGTTTCCTTTTTTCTTGTTTTACATCAGTTACTTAGTAACTACAAACATAATCTAAGCAAAAGGATTTCTCATCAATTTCTACTATACATAGGCTGTGTTCTGGAGAATATCTGACAACGAAATTATTCATATACAAAGACTACCTGAAGGTATTGTTGAAGTGGATCACAAGGTGGACGGGAACACAATGATTGCGGTAAGTTTACACTGTTTAGTAACTCTGTTACAATTATACCCTCCATTTGTTATGCCGGTCTCCACAGCTCGACTCCTGTCGGCAGATGGCCTCTTATATGTACCCCAAGGGGCACAATGGTCAACCCTGTGGTGATTGAAACGATTGGTCAGAGGTTCAAATCCTAATACTGAGGGGAGGGTGACATGTATATTCAGTTGACGAAATATGCGTCCTAGATTCTGCTATTAGCCTCGGCCACGTGGATTTTACACTTCTGCTGATAACTAGAAGTATTGTAGTAGTAGTAGTAGTAGTAGTAGTAGTAGTACGGTGATTAGTAGTAGTAGTAGTAGTGTGAGTAGTAGTGGTAGTAGTACCAGTGTTAGTAGTAGTGTGAGTGGTAGTAGTAGTAGTGTGAGTAGTAGTAGTGGTAGTGTGAGTAGTAGTAGTAGTAGTGTGAGTAGTAGTAGTAGTAGTAGTGTGAGTAGTAGTAGTAGTAGTAGTAGTGTGAGTAGTAGTAGTAGTGGTAGTAGTGTGAGTAGTAGTGGTAGTAGTAGCAGTGTTAGTAGTAGTGTGAGTGGTAGTAGTAGTAGTAGTGTGAGTAGTAGTAGTGGTAGTGTGAGTAGTAGTAGTAGTAGTGTGAGTAGTAGTAGTAGTAGTAGTGTGAGTAGTAGTAGTAGTAGTATTGTTTTCAAGTTGAAGTAGCGATGATAACCTGAGGGAACTAAGCAACAGCTGTTTCGTCCTAGGATGGGACACCTTAGCAGTCCATAATAATGGCTTCACTGGGAAATAATTCATCTAACTGAATGAATCGTTCAGCGTCATTTAAACACTTTTCTTTTCTTTTTCCTCATTATACAGACCGTCTATGTGGCTGACACAATGTGTACTCAACAATTTCATCGTCAATAATTCTTATCATCATTATCATTGTTGTGACTGTTATTACAGTCTTAATTAGTCAGCCATTCAGCAATAAAACATGCACCTCTGTAGAAGTTAGTTGAATAAACATTCATAATATTACAAAGGGGTGTTTTTTATATGATTTGTAATGAATAATGATGCATTACTGCCTTGTCATACTTAGGTATACACTAGATTATTAAGTTCCAATTGAAGTTTATGAGGGATTTTATGTTTTAAGGTTGTATGTCATCATAAGCCATTGAAAACCTGAGAGGACTGGACACTTGGAAAATGTTAGTTGATTGGAAGCAATTGGCAGGTTCCCTACATGTAACTATACGTCTACAAAGTATGTCTACAACTACGATGGAAGTGATGTCCTGCCTCAAATCTAAATCTACATCACAAAATCCTCCAATCAGAGATTTTACCACTGAGTTATTCAGACAGCAATCGATCAACCAGTAGGATTGAATTACATACATCAGCTTCAAATTTCTATCTATGCTACTGTGTGGTCAAGATAAATCTTATTCCACAATTTCATAGTCCAGGGAGCCAATTAGAATAAACTATTTCAATAAAGCAAGAAGAACAATCCTGATAGAGTTAGCACACATGTATTGTATTGCTTGGGTTCTCCTCAGCTGTTTTAAAACTTACAGAGTATAATGTTTATACTGAAACAAATTCACAAGAATGTTTCGATTGAAGTGGAAGGTGATAGAGATTTCAATCTGCAGAGATTGATGACGTTGTTACTTAACATTCAACTTCTTATACAGAGATAGAATGAACATTTGAGAGAAGATAAGAGAAACACTATCTACATGTATGTATAGATTATTATTAGTTTATTATTTGTCCTTTGGGTTCCTGGTGGAACACACAGCTTCAGTAGTACGTCACCAATCCACTCTGTTCTCTGTAGTCTTTTCAACCTGGCTGCACATTTGCCCAGAAGCTTTCATTTCTTCCTCACATCCTTGGACGCCCAAATGTTCGTTTCCCATTTGACTTCCACTCGACAGCTCGGCCTGACGTTATACGTGATGTCTCCGAATGGTCTTCTCAGTGTATGCCCAATCCACTCCTATCTCCGCTTTCTTCTGCAGATTTGTTGGGCGACACGTTCTTGGTTGGTTTCTTCCTAGAGGTCCTTGTTGCTTATTCTTTCTCGCCTTCTCATCTGATCTTCAGTATTGAGCCTAGGCAGCTGTTGATGTGTGTCTGTAGTTTGTTGGAAATGCTTTTCATGACGCTCGTAGTCTCTGAACTATACAGAAGAACTGACTTGACTGAGATTAGTGTTGGAAATCCGGATCTTGTTCACGCTTTATCTGAGTGTAGTGCAGTGCAGTAAATCTCCACTTTGGTATCAGATTAATGAAAGCAGCCTGTCTTGGTGTCTTTCCGATGCTCACTTTGACATCCTCATGTGTGCCACCACCTATAGTTGAGACGATGCTGCCTTGGTGGTAAATGAAAGAGACAACTTCCTTCAGATTTCTCCCGTTGTTGGTGATTGCCACTTTTAGTTGTTGTTGTTGGTGGTGGTGGTGGTGGTGGTGGTAGTGGTGGTTGGGTATCTTCATCACCTCTGTCTTTTCTACATTCACCTGAAGGAAGTGCCGTCTTCGCTGCCTTGCCTCGCCTCTTCTGCCTACATGTTAGTTTTCGCCTGTCGATCTTCGAGTTCGTGCAACATTACACATTAGCCCTTTGCCCAACCTTCCCTCTTTATCCAGGCTTAGGACCGGCTAGTAACTAGTGAACTAGTTAACTTGGCGAGGTTATACATATGGATACATAGATATAAATGTGAGGTTGTAGTGCACAATTGCCAAAATAGGATATAGTGGTTAGGTAATTGTAATAAAAGGTCAATATTGAGTAAGTAATGAGATGAATACAACTCAAAAAGTGAGAGTAGGTTTTGAAATCGATTGAGGTGAAAATGAGCAAGTTTAAAGGCCACCACCCTAGCAACAAATGGGAATAACCAATCACGCCTCTTCATTTTATCAAAATCCAAAATCAAGGAACCTAACTGGTTATTTCGTTTGTTGCTAAGATAACCCTAAAGACGCACAGGATGCGCGTTTCAGACCTATTTGGGACTGGTCAGGTGGATGTACCTGCCTCCCAGTCTGCAGTCATGTTGTTCCCACTGGGATTCGAACTCGGCGCCGACTGTTTCAGATACCAAGGCGTTATCCACTGGGTCACCGAGCCGCGATAACCACTTCTTGTTCGATGGGTATAGTTTTAGCGTTATTGCTTGAATTATATCGTCGTTGATTGTACCGAATAGCGGATGACGCTCTGAAGCTTGAAGTGGTCGGTCCCGATTTCGAATCCCGGTGTGAAGAACATCACTCAATGAGAGGTAGGTACATCCAGCTGACAACTCCCAAATAGGGCTACAATACTCAGTCTGGATTCCACTGCTAGCCACTATCCATCATTAGTATAAAGCTGTGATAGTTACAAGTGGTTTGTCAAGCATGGCAACACAACTAGTGTCAATCAAGTGAGCTGCCATTAAAATCGGAAAACCGAGAAACTGATAAGTAGTGAATATTCATCAAAATAGGTTTGGACAAAAAGTTTCGTGATATGACGACATAATTGAAAACTGAATAGTTGTCAGGTAGAGCATAGCAACAAAAATGAGGAGGAAATTACCTAAGGAGTAAATAATGAGAAGAAAAAGATGAGGGTAGGGATAGAGGAGATTTCAAAGACTGAAAACGAAGATGATGAAAGGAGGAGAAGTTGAACAACATTGTAGTCGATTGTATTTCCATTTCAGTCTGTTTATTAGAAATGTCACACACACAGAGTGAAGGAGGAAAAGTAGCATTAACTGGATAACGTACTTCACGGACATCGTTTATTGTCCATATTCCCTGTTATCAATTTGTATATCATCTATTCTATACTTTAAGTAATAAGAATTAGTAAGTCGGGATTCTCAGTCATATCTAATAGAACGCAGCATAGCTTAGAAACAAGCTTTGTAGGTTAAAAGATCCTATTGATACAATTAAGCAAAATAACTCGGTTCACCAAATCCCTTGCAATGATTCTGAGGTCAAATAGATGGGTGAAAGTAGTCGACCAGCCAGGGTCGATTAGAATAAGCGAGCACAAAAACTTACCTAAATCAAGATAAGTAGACTTTAATAAGATAAGAAATTAAGAGAAGACTAGTTCGGCTATAGGTCTACATGTGATGACACACAATCACATAGTAGGGTGGGATAGGGTGACAGTATGTAAAACTAACTTAGTTGGGTGGAGGGAGGGAGAGATTAATAACCGACTGATTCTTTGTTTATCAAATCAACACCAAATACATCCAGTAACAGAAATGATTGTACACGTGTCCATCACATATGGAGGATTCTAGTAGCCTTGTCATCACAAAGAAGGAGATAAAATTAGGACTATATAGAGTCTGTCTGGAAGTTGTGGAGTTAGTTACTTGACATCAATATGAACAACAAATTATGTCCGGAACATCGTTATCCAATAAATGACACTGTTCCTCCTTCACTGTGTGACATTTCTAATAAACAGACTGAAATGGGGTATCACCATCTTCTCTTGTGTACACAGTTCAGATTTCTCTATGTGGGTGGCAAGATGTTCGGCGATACAGAGAATATGAAGACATACAGCCTTTCAGAGGTTTCTTTTCACTCTACAGATGACTTTGAATGAGGATATTCTTGAGATGGGGTGGTTCGTGTTCATAATGTGTTCAATTATAGCACCCCTTACCTCCCCATTGTTACCTCTTTGTAACCACGCGAGATAGTGTTCTTAAACCCTTTTGGACAACAGTCGCATCAGACGACCTATAATACCTGACTCCACAACACCAGATGAATTGATATAATATGCACATCGAAGTGGTCAGGTGAGAAAGTTTCTACTTTGAGTTGTCAGAAATCGTTGGGCGACAATAGGATACTAGTCTCAGTGTCGATTCAAAGAATGTCCTCCTTAGAGCGTTTGATATCCTCCATTTTAGAGTGTCGTCAGTGGGAGAATCACCTTCGAAGTTGACATTCATACAGAGTGTCTTTTTTGGCATGGTGGTAAGGTTCTACTTGCGAGGTTTAGCATTGATGTGTTTGTCTATGAAGTGTGGTGGGAATCCGTTTTCAATCAAGATGTTCTTTAGAATAGAAATTTCCTCTTCTGACACATCAGGACTTCACATTCGTCTAATGCGAGTGGTAAGTGATATGATCAGATTTCACCTACGATTCATAGGGATCCAGCTATTCAACTTCATCAGTTGACCATTTCACATTAGTTTCCTGTGAATTGATCTACTTGACGTTACATCAGCTGTTCTTATCAGCTCTACATCTCAAATCCTTACACTAGAAAAAAAAGGGGGGAAATTAGCGATTGTGTACACCTCTGAAGATGAAAATCGCCATAAAGAGACTCTTCACTGAGATACTCACTTCTTCTCCTTCTTCTTCTTCTTCTTCTTCTTCTTCTTCTTCTTCTTCTTCTTCTTCTTCTTCTTCTTCTTCATCTTCGTGCATAAAACAAAATTGACAACAATATTTTCCTGAGAACTATAGATGATATTCGAGTCTTTGGACTGCAATAGATTGAATAAACCGTAAAGGAATGGGGATCCCGTTATTTATTGATCACTTCCATGAAATTTCATACCTTGAGTATAGGTCCGGTATCAAGTAAGTGATGAACACTTGGTCTATTCAAATCTTGTATATCTCTAAGACTTATATTCTTCAAGATATATCCACAAATGTCGACAGAAACCATCCTCTTTCTCATTTGGTACATACATGTGAATTTGAGATAACATGAGTTGGAAACTTGTCCACTTTTGATTATTTCAAGGAGGTTTTAATTTGATACACATAGAGTAATTCGACGACTGAATAGGTTATTCTTAGTGCATCCTTGTGGTTACTTCACCCACCCCACCCCACCCCCACCCCCACCTCCATTTGAAAACAAGAATATTAGAGAATTCCTAGATGCTTGGCATTCAGGTCAGTCAGTCGGCAGTCAATAGATGTATAGACATACACTCAATCTATCAGTCAATAAGAAAAATGA